TTTTGAATGCTGAGTAATATTCCATGGTGTATATGTACCACATCTTCTTGATCCAGTCATCTATTTTTGGGCATTTGGGTTGTTTCCAAATAAACTAACTTTTGAATGATCTATTAGGCAGTGAGGGCACCTATCGTGTTGTTGAAGTTATTTGATTACAGTCCTCTTGTGGAACATCTATGCTATTGATTCAGATCTTGGGTGTTACCTCTGAGGAACACCCTAAACAGGAAGAGATGCTAACTTCCTCTGGGAAGATTCAGTTGCTTTACTTTAAATATATGTTGACTAATAAATCTTTAAACCGTAACAGTGTTAGTGATCGTATAAGTGAATTGAGATAGAATGAAGATGAGGGCTTGAAAGCAAACTTTAAGAGGTTGGGAAAAGAATAGAAATGGACTCGTCATTTGCTCATACTGGTCCTCCCTGTATTTTCTTGAGGGCCATTTGAAAAACAATTGCTTTGCAGTGGGTTGAAATCTCTGCTCATACAAGATCTATTTTTCTTAGATTCATTTAATCTCTCCATGTCTCAGCCACCGCCACCCCTTTAAATTGGATTTATCAATACAAAGACCATATTCTAATAAATTTTGAGCTCTAAGCAGGATGTTGTAACATCTCAGTCATTTTGCACAAATTTACATTTTTTTAAAGATTTATTTATTTATGCATATAAGAACTGGGGTACAGGCCAGAGGTACAGGGATTCACTAGGGACAGAGTGGGGAGCAGAACAGTTAGACTGATTGAAATACACTGCTGAGGGGAGGAGCGGGCAAGACAGGAGAGGTTTGCTGTGCCCTATGGGTAGCTTCCTGGCCAACCAGGGATTGAACTCTGGCTGCAGAGGCTTCACATTGTTTCACAGAGCTGTGCTTAACCCCTAGGCCACCAGGGAGACCCCAAATTTACATTCTTACATTTGAATGAGGATAAAAGAACCCAGCAAAGTCATGCTCTTTCTAGTATCCTTTGGTTTCCCAACATTTTATATGCTATTTCATTTGATTTCTTCTTGCCTTTTCTTTTGATTGTAGACAACTTGAATTTATTTAAAGATACCCAGTAGATCTCAAGTTTTTTTATTTAAGAAGATATTTTCTAGACTGTGCCTTTGCTCATCTTGCTGTCATAACACCAGTATTTTAAAATGATTTTGCTTATAATTAATCACTTTCTCAACCTGAACTACAAATATTCTAAGTGTGTATTCTCCAAGAATAGATTATTTTTAATGTCTTCTTTTCCCAATACTTCTCTTTATGACATTTTTCTAAACCTATTTAATCACATGTTTGAAATATTGTCTGTTGGGCATTTATTTAGGGAGTGGGATACACACAAGAAGGAAAACTAGCCATAATTGAGCTCAAAATCAGCTAATTATTTTTAACCAACTATGAGGGATTGGCTTACTCTTATTCCTCTTCTGCCTATAGTTTCTAACTGTGTAAAAAAAAAAATGCTTGCAAGTACCAGTAGTAAAGATGTTAACTTATGGCTCAAGTGTCAAACAGCTTAATCCTACATTCAGATGATAGTTGATCTGGTCTTCATTCTGGGGTCAATGTGTGTTGTTACCCATCTCCTGTTCAGAATCTAAATACTTGTTGGAGATGTCCACAATGAAGTGATTCAGGTACTTCGAGTCACATGGGCAAGTATGGTGCAGGCTTATTATAGCTTTTTGTGGTATATTTATAGCATGGTGACAGGAAGTAGAGTGAGCCTCCTGGAAGGGAACAGGAAATAAAAGAGCATTTGTGCTTTTTGTAGATGTATTATAATTCCTATGCTTATAATACCTGACCAATAAATATTTCATACCTTGATCCATTTTATTATCAACTCCTTTCTGTGAACACTATGTCATTATTAGGTAAGAAAAACCAAAATCTCCTGTGCAGGCATTTTCCTGAATGTGGAGAGAAGAAACTCTGTTGGGCTGGCCACCATGACCATCTGAGGAATGGGGCAAAGCATCTGGTTTAGTTTTGACTGCCCTGACTGAGTACTATAGACTGAGCAGTTTGAAAAACAAATATTCATTTCTCATAGTTCTGGAGGCTGCAAGCTAAGATCAAGGTGCCAACATGGTTAGACTCCTGATGAACACCCTCTTCTATTTCCTTTCATAGAGACAGGAAAAGGGGACAACATGGAGCAGAGAGAAAAATAGAAGAGAGATAGAGGGAGGATTGGAAAAGTGTGGTAGAGTGGGGTAGAGTGGGTTGGGGTGTGGTGGGGTGGGAGAGAGAGCTCTCATGTCACTTAATCTCTTAATATAAGGGGATTCCACCCTCATGACCTAATCACTTCCCCAAGTTCCAATCTCTAAGCATCATCACATTGGGGTTTGGGGTTTCAACAAATGAATTTAGTAGGGGGAGGAACAAATAGACAGAACATTATCCTTCATCTGTCTAATCTTCCACAGACTTTTATTTCCTCTTATCCATTTCGGCTTACCAAGTGAATCAATAGAGCTTGACTGTGAATGAATCTTTAAGACTTTCATAACAAGACGCCTCAAGACTTAGTGGTTTAAAATCATGATCATTCATTGTCTATACTTTATTTGGGTGGTTGTACTGATCTTGATGAGCTCACTCCTTTATCTTCAGTCAGGTGGTGAATCAGCTAGAGACTGGCTGGCTTAGGATATTCCCAGATGGGAAAACGTGCTCTTTTCTGTATGTGTCTCATCTCTCTTCAGCAGGCTAGTGTGGACATATTCCTACTACTGCAAATAAGTAAGGGGGAAAAAATCTCTGCTTATGTCACATTTCCACTTGACTATTGGCCAAAACAAGTTATATAAGCAGTCTAGATTCAGAGTAGAAAGAAACTAGTTAAAGAACAGGGAGAATTCAGGGATCCTATTAATTTGAACTAGGAATATAGTCAAGAGAAGCAATGTATCAAGAAAGTTACCATTTTAATTATGGTATCACACCCATGAAACATTCTGTGATAATGGAAGTATTCTATATCTATGATGTCCAAAATAGTCCATTAAGCATATTAACTATTTCAATTTATGTCTAATTTAAATGAAATAAAGTTAGAAAATGAATTCCTTAATCATAATTGTTGCATTTCAGGTTTAATGCTAGTAGTATACCAATCATCTCTCATAATATTTCACCCTAATCAGTGAGGTGAAAAATTATGTTGTCGTGCTTAGAAATCCCTATAATAGGTCAAGTGAACAATTAATTGGTATATTTGAAGAATTGCTGTGCCCTATTGGGAACTGACTTAAATTGATTAGGTCAAGTTCAGTCAGTTCATTCTTTTGTGGAGAACTTTTGACAGCCTACCACAATGGAGAAAGTGATAGGTTTCCTCACTACAGAGCTGCTAAAACATTGCAATGAAGCCAAATAACTCTCGTTGTGCCTCATCTATAGACTTTTATTAGCATGCAGACTTGAGAATCTATGCACTCTGCTCTGCAAACTCAATAAAGGATTCATCTCTAATTTTAGATGATTTTATAGTCCCTTCTTCAGAATATTCACCCAAGACAAATGCAGCAAGTTGCAGCTAAGCATAGAACAGATTCAGTAAACCGAGAATTCTTTTCTTTATTGGTTGAATGCTGAATCTTTTATGAGTCAAGGTTAGGATTCCAGTCCTTGCTGAGAAACTCTGGGATACTCCTGTGCATGCAAGGGTCTGAATGTTGCTTGCTTCTTTTTTAACGAACCCAAATATCCACTAATGTCATGAGTATAAACTCATTTATAAAATCCATTGTAATCATAAAGAACTAGCCTCACTAAAAAAGAAAAAAAAATTCTGACCTCAATTGTGAACATTCATGTATATATTCTGTATACTAAAATATCTTAATGTAAATTTTAGACACATAATTTAGGGTGAAAACTCACACTCATATCTAGTTCTCATGTAAATTATGACAAAATTCATGTTTTCCTAAAGGCCAATTTATTTTTGTCTGGTGTTAAGTTTTACTAGCAATTTCTAGCTTAAAAACATCTGTGCTAGAAAATGTGGCAAATGTAATTTTGGTTAATTACAAGTTTCAAAGTTTTGTTGTTTAGTAGTACATGATCAGTTTCTATAAGAATTTCAAGGAAACTTAGAAAAGAGGTACATTTTTGTTTATAGAGCATATTTTTCAATACTTGCTTACTAGTTTTATTTTGTTATCTAAATTCTATATGCATTTATTTAACACTTGAGTCCTTCATCTATCAAAACCTGAAAAATCTTGTTTAAAGTCTTCTCCATTAGTTGAAATTCTGCCCATTTCATCTTAAAGTTTTTAATTTATACATTTGGTGAGCTGTTCTTTTATGCATACCATTTTATGGCTGCTAAATTTACATTGCTAGTGTATATTTGAACAATAAAACATGACACTTTAATTTGAATCATCTTTCATTCAGTAGGAATGTAAACTTTTGGTAATTTATTATAAATATTACTCAGAAAGGGTACAGGATTGATATAATTTCTGAAGACTTGCAAGCTTAACACCTTATTTTTCTTCCTTCCCATGAATAGTGACTTGATTGTGTATAAAATACTGGTTTATAATTCTTATCTTTTTTAGACTTTGCACCATTATCTGCTGAAACATTTTTTTTTTTATTTTAAGGTGTGTGGTTCTTACTTTGTTTTCTTCTTTTTTTTGTTTTTACTTTTATTTTTTTGCATTTTACTCATTCAAAAATGCATCCAATAGGTGTCAACTTGTGGATTTTCTTACTGTTTTTGCCTGTTATTTTTGGAATGTGAGAGGTTTTTTAACCATCACACGTGGTTATTTTCTTAAGCTCTTCCTTTCTTTTCAACTTAATCTTGATTGCTTTTGGTTCTGATTTGTTTTGTCTTAGCTCTGTCTAGAACGCTGATGCATATTTTTATTTTCTAGCTTATATTTAATTTTCTATGACATTGCCTTTATTTCTTTTTCCTTTTCCTTTAAATTCCGAGAAATCACTAAATTTTGTTTTTTGCAGATGCTGGCATATCATGGATTAAATTTTCGGTGATGTTGGATATGCTTTCTTACTTCTGGTGAGAATTTTAATCAGACTTTCCAACACTGTGGAGATTCTATCTCCTCACTTATCTTTTGTCTCAACTTGCTATTTTGTACCTTCCCCTGAGGTTCTGTGTCCATCTTCATTGCTATTCTTTAATGATTTTCTGTTTCTCTGTTATATAAAGATGTGTCTTCTGTGCCAAATAAGGATTCAGTCATTCAACATTTATTTGCTGAATACCTATTTAATGCTCAGTAGCATGTTTATTAGTCACAGACAGTAAACAAAATAATTATACACAACAGTATATATTGAAAAAAACCACAGGGTACCCTTACAGTATGTAATAGGAGGCTTACTTTACCTATGGAGGGGTAAGGATAGGGCTCCTTGAGATGTTAGTTTAATCTAAAATCTGAATAAAGAGGAAGAGTGAGCTAGTTATCGGGAGTGCAGTGACAGAATTCCAGGCAAACTGCCCAGCATGGACATGGAGGGTAAAAATTTCTGTCTCCTCATGTGGTGTCCATTCTGTGACGTTTTAGAATAATGTCCTCTTTTTCTTGATCTGCAAGATTCTTTAAAGATTCATTGTTTAAAGTTTAATGTTTATCCTTGGTTGAAGGAAGTTTGTCTGTGGATCCTGGTTAGAAACTAAACTCAGTATTCAGTTAACTTTAGTGATGGTAGAAACCCTTTCTCTTGGCAAAGCTGGACTGTGAGCTAATACTGATGCACTAGAGCTCCCAGTCAAATTTGTGACAAAAGCATATTTTATGCAGCATGACATAACTGGACTAGACAGCATCTTCATCCCAAACTGTTCACTGAAAGGGACTGCCAGCTTGGCTAGAGGTGCTTAGTTGTTTAGGCTTAGATGCTAAGTTGTTTAGATGGTTCTGGGTGTCTGGGAAGAGCCTGGTGGAAGGTAAATCCTTTTTTATACCAGCAAGCATTCATCATCCAATCTCAGTGACTTTGTAAAGAGGGGACTTCCTTCCAAATTTTGAATCTAGGTCATTCAGCATTCATCCTTTTGGGGTCATGCCGTCATTTTGTTTTGAGGGAGGGTGGTTTTATCTCCTGTGTATTTATGTGTTTTAGTGATATGTAAGAAGCTGTAACAGATACTACCTTAAACTAGAAATCTTTGCATGCATGTTTATTCTGTGTAATTTATGGCAACTAGTTGATGTTAAAAACCAGAGATTCTTTTGGTGAGTTAAAACATCTTGGCAGAAAGGAAAAAGCATGTATGAAGGCACGGTCAGTACTTGTGTGAACCAGCACTTTTTGTCTAATACGAACCTCCGAGGGTTTGGGTTCTATAGAAAGATGAAAAAAGAGAAACTATTGCCCAGTGTGTGCGGGTTCCCAGCTCTGATGTGAAATAGCACCTTCCTATAGTCACATTCCCTGTCTGCAAATGGAGGTACCTTGCAAGAGATTATGTCACCTGAGAGCCTGTGAGAAATGTAGAATGTCAGGACCCAATCCAGAGATACTGAATCTGAATTTTAATTCTGAATGATCTGGAGCCTTCCTCTTTCTCTCCCTCCCTCCCTCCCTTCTTGTTGAAGTGACTGTTAAAAAGATATGGGGAAACACCAACAGCATCTGCTTACCATCCTGTTCCTTTCTCCACACAGACCCCTGTGAAACTCTAGGTGATTCCCTTCGTTAAGTTTGAGAAGCCTTGGCCCAGGGTGTGTGTGTGGAGAAGGAGCGAAGGAGAGAATAGTCACAAGATGAGGGATCCGCCTCACTCTCCTTCCCCTCAGTGTGTCTCAAACAGGGAACACTGCCTTAAAACATGAATTAGTAGTACCCATGTATTTAATCTTTCTGCAAATAAGAAAATTGACTAGTTGATCATTCTTTCAGCTTAAAAGTTTCGTAAGTCACTTCCCCTCAAAGACAAGAGAAGGTCCATTTATCATAGCTTTAGAGGAAAACAATTAATATAATTGTTTTATGTTACAGTTTGACTTTTTGGAATGATTGAGAGATGAGCTTGAGATCGGGTTGTCAGAAATTCAGGAGAAAACACCTTGCTTTCTGCAGGAAGGAGGAAATTGATCCTGTTCCACTGCCAGGGCCCACGAGACAGCATATAGCTGGATGCCCTCAGAGCAAACAGATGAGTGGGGAGCTCCCTCAACATGCCCAGCCACTGAGTCAAATTTTAGGGGATGTCAGATTTTGGCATTAGGCATAGACTTGTCGAATAGCAGGTTGTTTCTGCAATGGCAAGATGTGTTATTAGTTATTTGATTTAAAAAATTCAGACACTTGTCATCTTTTCTTCTCAGTGATTTCCACAGTAGTACTGCAAAAACTCATTGTCCGAAAGCATTAACCTTAAGAGACTTTCTTACAAATCTGTGGGTTCCTGGGACACTTGCTAACCTGGACAGGGCCTGCTCATTTTCTGAGGTGTGCTGGGCCAGGCTGGTTTGAGGTGTCCTCTGCTGAGATGACTAAGGTCTCTTCACTGAGTCTCTCACATCCCTCTACTGGGCTACCCTATGCCAGTTACCACAGGAAATTGCAGAGAAGGAAGCAGAAATACACAACTGCTTTTTATGCTTTTGCTTCCCTCACATTTTCTATCTTTCCACTGACCTAAGCAAGTCACATGGAAAATCCAGAGCTAGAGAGAGTGGGAGGATAATGGATAAAGAATATGGATTCACAAAGGTCATTATTTTCTTTTAATTTAATTTAACTTAAATCAATTGAATTAAGTGTTAAGTTACCACACATGGTCTTGAGCAAGGTTTGGCAGGAATCCAGCTTAAGAAGTACAATTCTCACTTTAAATAAAATGGGGTCCTGAAACAAATATAGCTCATAGAGATGGATATCAATGAATTACAAGAAGAAATGATCAGCATTATTACAAAGTGGATAGAATGAGGGCTTATCAATATGCTGATTAGATTATGATAATATAAGATCATATAGCAAACATATTAATTTTTCCTGTTTCTGGTTTAGGAGACACTATGCACTTTCTTTCATATTAACTCACTAAATAAAAACGAGATGCATTATTACCCAATGATTCATGACCAATTCAACTTTACTGGGTACAAGTGTAGCATTTATATGCAACCAATTATCTCTGCCAAATTCTTCTTCCATGGTCTACTTAGGACCTCCTGTAGTGGTCTGCCTTTAATATGCTGTTATGTAAGCTTTCAGGAAAATGGTGTGGCTGACAATTACTGCAAGATGCATATGCCTCCTGAATCTTAGATGGCCAGAAATAAGTTGCATGACCGACCTATCCTTTTATTCCAGGAAAAGCTTTGCAGGAGATGTCCAGACCTGGGAGGGAAGAATCAGACTGAAATCTGTGAACTGCCCTAAGTATGTCAGTAATAACCCAAATTAATTTGAATCTTGTTTTCCCTCCTCTTGGAGCCAAGAGCATATGGGGTGGGAAGGTTAATGCAGTGCAGTCTTATCTCCTCTGGGCAATTCTGACTTGGAATAGTTTTGCTTCTCTTCCCTAGGAAGGAAATGTGCTTTGCCACAGCGATAAGGAGAATGGTAAAGAGGTCAATCCAGGGAGATTAGGATGCCTACCTACACCTCCCTGCGCTGCACAGGGTTATTATGAAGCCAGGAAGTGAGAGGCTGCAGTTAATTTTAGTTCTGAGTAACTCAGTCTCTAAGGGATTCTTTTGAGAGATGCAAACAACTCAACAGAATCTTGTTAAAAGGACTTCATTCTGTGCATCCAGGGAGAGGGCCCACACGTGATTTTTATACAAGAGACAGCTCAGCCCCAATTTAACCTGAATGAAAATCAGATTTCTATACTTTGCAAGAATCTATTGTAATGGAGGAGGAAGTCTTCTTCTACCCTGTAAAGGTCCCTAACTGGATGTGAAAATTAAACTGACAAAGATGAACATGATCCTAGAGACTTCTTATGAAATGAAGACCTGAGAAATGGTTACATCTGAGTAATTTTTAAGTTAGATTTAATAAAGAGTATAGTTATCGAGAAATATGAGGCAAGCTTAATAAATGGGGAGACTTTTCAAGGCCTGATTGCTAGGATTCTTCTCAAAGTTCCTTTGTTGTCCAAGACAAGGGGCATAGGGAGGGCATCTCTCTCAGGTGAGTTTCATGACCTATTTTGGGGGTACAGGAGGAGGTGGAAAGAGAGTAATCTTCCTGCTTCTACTGTTTCTTTAAACTACTTCAGTTTAAAATATTTAATATGTTCAGGTGCCATGTTTGGGGATAGCATATCCTGAACCCCATCCCAGTATGCTTATCTCCCATGCCTTTGCTAAGCTAGAATAATTTTGTTCCTTGACTTGGTAAACAAAAAAAGTCAGGAAAAGGTAACAACTCCCTCCTAACTATTAATTATTATTATTTTTTTTTTTTTGGTAGCAAAGCAGAAATTCTCACAGACCTCAAATGCTAATGAGGTGCCAAGAAGTGCTGACAGGAGCAGTGCATAGTGAGAAGTGTTCATATCTAACTTCTGGGCACACTTTCTTTCACAAAAGCCTCGTCTACCAAAGTGCATAAAAAATTAGGAGGAAGCTCTTGGATACAGCCTGAGCATTGGTCCCTCTCTCTGACCCTCATGCATTTCTTGTCTATCTTCCCTGGCCTCTTCCTATTTTTTCTCGTAGCACAGAATGCTCCTGTTTGAAACCTACTTTCCCAGCATTCATTACCAAATTGTTTTTCAGTCAAGCAAATCTGTAAGATAAGCAAGTGGCATAAAATGTAGGCCCCCAAAAGAATTAAATATAATATGAATAGGTGAATGAATGACCGAATGAATGGCTATATGAGTGAATGAATGAATAAATAAAATAGGCTCCATTCTCTCTATAACCAACCCCAATAACATTTAAAAAAGAAGCTTTTATTATGGTGGTATTGCAAAGTCACCTTAGGTCCAGAATTGTCACAGATCATGAGAACAATGATCATATCATTTAATAGGCTGGTAAATTTTCAGATTAATAGCAAAGCAGGAAAGTTCAACTCCATTTCCTCCAGTCTCACTATGCACCACTTTCCTTTACCAGTCTGGTGGAAAGAAATAATTCCAGAGCATTGTTATTGCATGAAAAAGAATGTAAACTACATATGCAATTTTACATTTTCTAGTAGCCACTTTTCCAAAAGGAAAAATTAACAGTGTGCAATATATTGAATTGTGCCCAATCCCTAGAAAGTATGCTAAAGTCTTAAACTTCAGTACCATGGTGATCTTATTTGGAGATAGGGATTTACAGCTATCAGCTTAAATGAGGTTGGTAGGGTAGACCTAGTCCAGTATTACTGTTGGTCTTATGCAAAAAGAAATTTGGAGACAGGGGGATATAAATGCACAGAAAGAAGATGATGTAAAAATTCATGTGCAGAAACTCTATTTATATGAGGTCTCATGAAACTGCCACCAGGAAGCTACAGAACCCAACATGCCTTGCATCTCTTTTGGGAAGTGTTGCTTCCCAGCACAAGTGGAAGGTAGCAGGGATTCCTCTTGACCCAGCAATAACTCAGCATCTAATAAGACAATGTCATAAACCAGCAAACAAGAAGCCACCATACATCAAATTCTGTTTCTTCCAATTAACTCTTTGGTTACAAAAAATTGAAACTATATCAATTGGTTCAGGATTTTTTTTCCTTTATTATAAGGGTACATATGTCTCAATATGAGAAAGGTACATATGTCTCACCACGAGACTGCACTTTCCAAATTGTCTTTTTTTGCTGTCTTGTTTTGCTTTTGTTGATGATACAATTGGTTGCTTCTTTTTTTTTTTTTTTTGAGGTCAATCACATGAAGAGACACAGGGTTCGAAGGCAGCCACCTGCAAGCCAAGTAGAGAGGCCTGCATAGGCCTCTCCCTCACAGCCCTCTGAAGAAACCAGTCGTCCCAACACCTTAATCCTAGACTTCTAGCCTCTGGAACTGCGAGACAATGGATCTCTGTTGTTTCAGTTGCTGTTTATGGTACTTTGTTAATGGCGGCCTAGCAAAATAGCACACTGAAAAGGTTTTTTGGTAATATATTTTATTCAACCAGATATATCAAAAGTATTATTCCACATGTAATAATTATAAAAGTATCTTACATGCTCCAAATCCAGTGTGCATTTGATACTTACAGCACATCTTGATTTGGACTTTCATATATTTCAACTGGTCAATGACCATGTGTAACTCCTGGACTCCAAAGTGAACAGCATGGGTCTAAGACTAGTTGAGTCATGAAGAGAGGCTCCTATTCTTCACTCTTCCAAGCTGAATAGAAGCACTCACCATTCCTGGGAGCTGTAGAGTTGGGAGGCCAGTTGCATTTGGGTTTTTTTTTAAAATTTATATATATATATATATATTTTAAGATTTATTTATTTATACAAGAACCAGGGTACAGGCCAGATGCATGGGAGGGTGAGAGGATTCTCCAGAGACAGAGCGGGGAACAGAACAGGCAGACTGATGAAATACACTGCTGAGGGGAGCAGCGGGTGCCACAGGAGAGGTCTGCTGCGCCATGTGGGACCCTCGCTGGCTGGCTGGGATCGAACTGGTGCTGCAGAGGCTGCAGATAGATTCACACCCCTTCACTCAACTGCCTGCGCTACCAGGGGAGGCCCGCATTTGGGGGTTTTGACTTCATGTCTGAGAATGACACAAAAAACCAACTTCCATTTTGTTTCTATTGGTTTTTCTAAAACCTGGCCACAGGTGCATTCATTACTTGGGCAAATTAAACTGGTTGATTCAGTGTTATTACTCTAATCATACAAATGCAGACTTTACATGTGATTTACCATAGAAACTAAGAAAAAAATCCACCTCCTTGAAACTAAAAATAAAATAGTGTCTGTATAAATATGCACAACCATATGACAAAAAATAGTCTCTATATAAATATGCACAACCATATGACAAAAAGTTTCTGGGACACAGAGCTACATTTTCTTTCTTCTCAAGAAGTCAACATGGTGGATCTTGAGTACCACCTGAAAGTGAGATTTCCTCATGTGCATGCTTGACTTGGCCCTTTTGGGCAGTGTCTTCATTTTCCTGGGTTAGTCCATCCTTTAACTTGTTTATTTGTTGAGTGATGCTAGTGGAAAGAAGTTCAGAGAGAGGAAAATTTTCATATATCATCTACTGTCTTACTCTATCCTAAAGCCAAACAAATAGTGACAAATTAATATGGTTGATTTTGTAAAATACATTCTCCAGGAAATATAAGCACTAGAAAAAAAGTGATATTGTGATTTATAATAAATTTGTATTTGCTTTTGTTCCATTTCTGTCTCACAGTGCCTAAAACTCTTTTGATTTCTTAAGTGAAGAGAGCTATAGTGGTGTCTTTGCTATGGTGATGTGGTAAAATTTTATTTTTTGTTTTATTTAATTTTGGAACAAGATGTGATTTCTCCCCTCAGGTGTTGCCACTGTAGTTCTTTCATCCAGAGCATCTTAGTCCGTTACCTCTGTGCTCTTCCCCCATCTTCTTATCACTCCATCTCTTCATAGATGCCTCATATTTATGACTAGCCTTCAAGGTTTGTCTTTGAGCTTTTGTCTGTTTTTTCTATTTTCCACATATAAGTGAAAGTATCCAATATTTATCTTTTTCTTTCTGACATTTCACTTAGCATCAGCCCTTCCAGCTCCATCCAGTTTGTGGCAAATGGCATGAGTTTATCTTCTTGGATCACTGAGTAGTATTCTGTTGTGTATATGTATATGTATGTGTGTATATATATATATATATATATATATATATATATATATATATATATACACGACATCTTCTTGATCCATTCATCTGTTTTGGGGCATTTAGGTCATTTCCATATCTTGGCTATCATCCACAGTGCTGCAGGAAACATAAGAGTGGAGGTTTCTTTGTGCATTAGGGCTTTTTGCAGTATTTGGTTAGATACCTGGGAGTGGAATAGCTGGGGTTTTATGGCAGATCCATTTCTAGTGCTTTGAGTTGACAACACACAGCATTTCATAGTGGTGGACTAGTTTATATTCCCATCACCATTGTTAAAGTGTTCCATTTTCTTTACATCCTCATCAGCACTTGTTTCTGTTTTTTTTTTTTTTGTAATGAGCCATCCTCACTGGTGTGAGGTGGTATCTCATTGTGGTTTTCATTTGCATTTCCATGATACTAAGTGAGGAACATTTTTTCACGTGCCCATTGGCTGTTTGCATTTCTTCTTTGGAGAAGTGTCTATTTAGCTTTTCTGCTCCTCCCTTTTTTTTTTTTTTGGATTAGGTTGTTTGTTTTTGTTGTTCTGCCCATTTCTTGACTGGATTGTTTACTTTGTTTTAGTTGAGTCCTGTGAGTTCTTTGTATATCTTTACTATCAGTCCCTTATCAGTTGAGTGGTGTGCAAATATGTTCTTCCATTCAGGGGTCTGTCCCCTCACTTGACAGTTACTGTCTCTTTTGCTGTACAGAAAAGTTTTTTAATTTCAAATAGTCCTGATTATATTCTCTTGTTTTTCTTCTGGGAAGGGGTCTCAAAGATATTTCTAAAGTTTATGTCATAGAATATGTTGCCTATGGTTTCTTCTATGTATTTTATGGCTTTAGGTTTTACATCCAAGTCTTTTGTCCATTTTGAGTTGATTTTGTGCATGGTGTGGATAGTTGTCTAGCTTCATTCTTTTGCATGTGGCAGTCCAATTTTCCAAGCAGTTTGTTTCAGAGACTTTCTTTGTTCCAGTGAATATTCTTTGCTCTTTTGTCATAGATTAGTTGACCATATTATGTGTGGTTTTATATATGAACTTTCAATTCTATTACATTGATCTTTATGTCAGTATTTGTTCCAGTACCATTTTGCTTTAATTATTATTGCTTTGTAGTATAGTTTGAAGTCTGGAAGTGCAGTACCCTTATTCTTCCCCTTTTTAGTTAGGAGAACTTTGACTGTTCAGGGCATTTTCTGATTTCATGCAAATTTCAGCAATATTTGTATCATTTCTTTAAAAAATGCCATTGCCATTTTAATTGGAATTGCATTAAATCTATATTGGGTAGGATGGCCATTTTGATAATGTTGATTCTTCCAGTCAATGAGCAGGGAATATCTTTCTATTTTTTTAATGTTTTCAATTTCTTTTGACATTGTTTTATGATTTCCTTTGTTAGGTCAATTCCCAGGTATTTAGGTTAATTCCCAGGTATTTATTTTTTGGTATGATTGTAAATGGGATGGTTTTCTTAATTTCTTCCTCTTAAGGCTGATTGTTTGCATATAGGAGGACAACTGATTTTTGTGCATTGATTTGTAATTTTCTACTGCACTAGTTTATTGTCTTAAAATTTCCATGGGCTTTTTTTAGGGTTCTCACTCTGTATTATTGTGTCATTTGCAAATAATGATAGGTTTCCTTCTTTATTTATTTTTATTTTTTACATCATTGTTCATTTTTAAATAATTTTTGCTTCCCCCAACTCTCTCAGTTGTAGTCCCCATAGAATTTCCTTAACCTATACACCCGTGAACCATCACCACAGTCCACTGTGCTCCTCACTCCCACCTTCTGATCCCTCTCCCTCTCCCTCCCCTGCAGTGTGTCTCTGATTTATAATCGTCTGTTTTTGCTTTGTTGTGTTTTTACTGTTTTTTTTTTTTTTTTTTTTTACACTGATGTCTTATTTGGTTCCCCTGCATTCCTGCTATAAGTGAAACCATCCAATATTTTTCTTTTTCCTTCTGGCTTATTTCACTGAGCATAATTCCTTCTAGCTCCATCCATGTTGCTGCAAATGACATGAGTTTATCTTTTTGGATGACTGAATAATATTCCATTGTGTATAAATACCACATACTCCTGATCCAGTCATCTATTTATGGGCATTTGGATTGTTTTCAGGTTTTGCCTATTGTAAATAGTGCTGCAATAAACATAGGTATACAGGTGTTCTTTTGAATCAATGTTTTTGTGTCCTTTGGGTAGATCCCTAGGAGTGGAATTGCCGGGTTATATGGTAGCTCCATTTTTAGTAGACTGAGGACAAGTTTGCACTCCCACCAGCAATGCGGGAGAGTTCATTTTTCACCACATCCTCGCCAACATTTGTTGTTGCTAGTTTTTTTGATATGTGCCATTCTTACTGGTGTAAGGTGGTATCTCAGTGTGGTTTTGATTTGCATTTCCCTGACTATAAGGGATGTTGAACATTTTTTCATATGCCTGTTAGCCGTTTGCATTTCCTCTTTGGAGAAATGTCTTTTAAATTCTTCTGCCCATTTCTTAACTGGATTGTTTACTTTGTTTTAGTTGAGTCGTGTGAGTTCTTTGTATATCTTTGTGATCAGTCCCTTATCAGTTGTTATTGGGTGCAAAAATTTTTTCCCGGTCAGTGGGGTGTCTCTCTATTTTGGTTAATGTCTCTTTTGCTGTGCAGAAGCTTTTCCGTTTAATGTAATCCCAGGTGTTTATCTTTTCCTTGACTTTCTTTGCTTTGGGTGATGAGTCTTTAAAGATGTTACTGAGATGTTATGTCTTGTAATTTTTTACCTATATTTTCTTCTATGTATTTTATGGTTTCAGGTCTTATGTCCAGTTCTTTTATCCATTTTGAGTTGATTTTTGTGGACAGTTTCCTTCCTTCCCAATTTGGATTCCTTTTACGTCTTTCTCTTACTGAATTACTCTAGCTAGGAATTCCGTTACTATATTGAAGAGTAGTGGTGAGAGTGGAAATCCTTGTCTTATATTGGGTCTTAATGGAAATATTGCTATTTTTCTCTACTGAGAATGATGCTAGCTGTGGGTTTGTCATATCTGGATCTTATGTTGAGATATGTTCCTTGCATACCATGTTTTTCAAGGGCTTTCGTCATAAATAGATGTTGAACATTATCAAATGCTTTCTTCATGTCTATTGGTATAACCACATTTTTTTGTTGTTGAAACCTCCAAAAAAAATCCATAAATGAGAGGATACAGAGAACTTTCAG